GTGTGGGATTTAGTGAGTGTGAGCTTCATTGTGTTCTCACTTGTTAATTGAGAACAAATCATTGTATTTAACTTTTATTTGTGAGAATCACTTGTAATACACTTGTACACCGAGAGAAGTGTGAGGAGAGAGAGACGGGGTCAAATCCAATAGGAGTGGCGTCGATTGACGAACCTAGGGAGAGGTTGTAATCGAGCACTTGAGGAGGAGGACACGGGCTAGATTCCTACACTTAGTGTGTAAAGTGTGATTGTTGAGTGATTGTGTAGTGTGAGAGTTTTCGGTGAACTTGTAAACCGAGTGTGTAGAAGTTCCGGCTTCCAAACCGGATTGGGATAGTGGATATCTCCTCAAGGTGAGGAGCGGGGACGGAGGGCGTGGGGACGAACCTCGTAAACATATCGTGTGTTTGTGTTTTGCTTGTCTCATATTTTATTTGTGCATATTCTTATTGTTCTTATTGTTCATATCTATCTCTTGCAAGAACATATTGATCAACATTATTTTAATTGCTATTATTTGGTATTAGATTAGCACAAGACCCTAATCACCCCCCCTCTAGGGTCTAACAGTTTATCGGAGAGCTGCTGCGGGAGAGCGACGGAGCTCGACAAGGCGGTGCGAGGAGGGGGTGGCTGCGTCGGGTCAGGACAGGTATCATGTTGGACACCCAAGATTGAGTAATACGCTCTTTTTCATGAACCCGGGACGTCCCGATCGATCTGAGAGCTCAAATCGGATCGAGAGGGAGAGCCGAAAACAGAATTTCCGGTCGAGCGAACATGGTCGCAGAACGATTTTTTCTTCGTGATTTTTACTCTCTATCAGGTCAGACTCCGACCGAATCTCGGGTGTCTTTTCTGTTGAAAAGAGCACCCGTTTGGTTCCTAACGGCTCATTTTTGGCTGGAGTGCGTGCTGGATGACTGTCTGGGGACGTTTCTGTCTTTCTCTCGGGGGTTTTTGTCTTGGTGAGCTTTGAAGCAGGGGTATTAATAATTAAACCCCATTTGCTCTCGATCTCTATTTCAAGAACTATCTAAGGAAGTTTTAAAACTAAGTTTTAACTTAAGGGTTAAGTGTCGTTTAAAGGTTTCGTTTTTTGTTTTGTAAAGAAGTTTTCACAAGTGGAAAGGAGATCAATCTAATCTGTTTGGGCTCGCCAATCTCCCATCTGCACTTCCATCTGTCTTCTTCTTATTGAGAAGTTTTCGTAAACTTTCTACTTACTACGCTTTCATTTGTTATTTGTTAATTATCAATTCTTATTAACATTTGCTAGTTTTATATTGACGTTTTTAGATTTGAATTTCCAGCTCATTGTTACACAAGCGATTAATAACAGCCACCACCCACAATTGAGCTTTTCAGTATTTAACATACATAGTAATAATGTTGGGTTTTGTGAGAGTTTTTGACTAAGAGGTGTGCTTAATTTGAGTTCTCACCTTGTTTAGAGCAAGCGCAATCAAATTGATTTATATTGTGCTTAATTCGTGAGGATTTTCACTTGAAAATACCACTTGTCGACACCCGAATGAGAGGGAGGTTAGTGTTTTTGTGGGTGAGAAGTTACGGGCTATTAGTCAAATCGCATATAGGAGTCGGCTGTCGATTGACGAACCTAGGGAGCAGGTTGTAAAATTCGAGCACTTGAGGAGGAAGGACACGCTAAGATTCCTACACTTAGTGTGTAAAGTGTGGATTCGTGAGTGATTGTGTAGTGTGATGAGGGAGTTCGGTGAAAGCTCGTAAAAGAGTGTGTAGAAGTTCGGCTTGCGGCAAAACCAGGGATTCGTAGAAAGTTGGACCATCTCCTCAAGGTGAGGGAACTGGGGACGTAGGGTCAGTTTAAGGACCCTCGCTTGGGACCATGGAGGTTTAACTGCGTGCAAACAGTATCGTGGTGTTTGTGTTTTGCCACTTGATGCTCTAAATCATTTATTTGTGCATATTCTTATTGTTCTTATTGTTCATATCTATCTCTTGTCGTGAATTAACGCAACAGTTAAAATGGGATTCATAACATTTTACTTTATTAACTTGCCATCTATCTTTTGTATTAGATTAGACCAAAGAACACGCCTAATCACGCCTGCAGCCTTCTTGTCAATATTTGGGGTTGTCTAAGTTATTTTCGTTGTTTTAGCAGAATGCATGGAGGAATTCGCAGGGAGAGAGCGACGGAGCTGCGACAAGGCGGTCAGAGGAGGGGGGTGGCGCGTCGGGTCTGAATGTCATCCGGTGGCGGAAGAAGGAAGCTCGGGTTGGTGGTGGCAGTCAAACAAGGCGACGATAATGGAGCTCAGGGCGGCGGTCTGAGGGAGGACGTCGTGAGCTAGAAGATGCGGCGTGATGAAGGGGTTGGGCGTGGTGCTCGTCAGGGGTGGTCGGGGGCTCTTGCTAGGTCGACGGCCCAC